TTTTACCACCACCACATATAAGAAAGTGACTGAAACTGTCAGTTTATCTTTAGGGAAAAAGTAAATAATAAATTACAGTACTAGTATAAATTCCTCTTGCTCCCAGAAAGGGAGAGAGGCTCAGCAGCAATGCACTGGGCAGCAGATCATGTTACAGCTGCTCTTGCTCAGCTTCCCTGGGGTAAAAGTCCTCATCTTTCATAGAAGCAGCTTTATAACCTCCTGAACCCATAGAAGACATCCCCATAAATAATAAAAACCCCACTCATAACTTCCATAAACAAATTAGAATTTGTTTGTTCACACAGAGTAGAACCAGGCTGATCTCTCAGGGATATGACAGAGGTGATCCAAAGGAAAGATAGGCTGAATTTCAGGGTTTTATTCCTAAATCGAGGCAAAGAATGTATATCCTACCAGTTTACTTAAAGGGAATTGCAACATTTTATTTTATAGTGGCTTTAACAAATTCCAATTAGCAGAATATTACTAAGTTGTCTCTCAGTCATCAACAAACCATAAATTCCTGCATTTGCTTCCAGTCCCAAACATCTCTGTTTGAGGGGTCTGATCTTCAGAAGTACTGAGCTACCAAAGCTTCCACCAGAGATGGTTACAAGCATATCTAGATGGGCTCTAGCTGTCTAAAACTGGACATCTCTACCCTGTGGTACTAAAAACTATGCACATTTTCTTCCCAGACCTAAAGGAGACTGATAGGGAGGCCGGAGAGGGAATTTTCACAAGGGCATATAGTTATAGGACAAGGAGGAATGGCCTTAAGCTGAAGATGGGCAGGGTTAGATGAGATAATAGGAAGAAATTCTCTGCTATGAACTTGGGGAGGCTCTGGCACAGGTTGTCCAGAGAAGCTGTGGCTGCCCCATCCGTGGGAATGCTCAAGGTCAGGTTGGATGGAGCTCTGAGCAACTTGGGCTAGTGGAAGGTGTCCCTGCCCATGGCAGGAGGTTGGAACTAGATTTTCTTTAAGGTGCTTTCCAACCCAAACCATTCCATGATTCTGTGACTCCTGCTGACTTCAGCTTTTCTCTGAGATCTGTAACACCCAACAGGTCTTGCATGATCCCAACCCACACAGGCAGCACCAGTGCAGCTCTGCAGAAGACAAGTCCCAGGTTATAGCACTGCAAAGACCTAACTCATGGTGATTCATGGGCATCCCTTTTCCCACTGTCATCTTTTACTGCAGCAACATGAAACTTCTCCTTTTATAAAACCTGCAGCTAAACTCATTTAATACCTCTTAACTACCTGTACAGCCAAGGGAGGCACAAACCTCCTTCCCTGGGGCACGTGTGGCCCTGCTACGCATCAAAAAATGCCTTTTTACCCTTTTCTGTTTTAAGGAATGAGTCACAGCGAAGCAAACACACACACAGCTGTGTGCAGTGAACATCAGGGAGGATTTCTATCATTTTTTTATCATGAGAAGGTTCACTCTGGCCTGGTGCACACACACAGGGCACTTTCCTGGGCTCCTGCTTTTCCAAGTGGCTGCTCAGCTCACGTGCTGGATGAAGCACAAGATGCTCCTGTATTATTCTCAGGGCATTCCCTCCCTTTCAGGTTATGTGCTATTTCAGAAACATAATGAACACGAAGCCAAGTGGAAGGTGAACGTTTGGAGGGTCAGGCAGTATTCATTAAAGTCAAACTCTTTTTATAGCAATGGGCAGCACTGCAAATACAGTTAATGGTCTGAAACTGGTTTTCCCTGTGTGAGAAGTGGCTGCTGAAGTTCCCACTTGGCAAAAAGTTGTCAGAAGTATCAATTGGAATATCCATTTTTATAATAAAAAGGTTTAAATGGGATAAGCCGTAGAGGAATTGCACTGATTGAAAAAAATTAACTCCTGTTTAGTTTCACACAGTTAATACACATTTTTGCTAAAATTATCTGATGATGTTGATTTTACATGCAGTTATTTTATTAGAAAGATTATGCCCTTGTTACAGTTAATTGGTTTTAAAACCCAACTATAATTCTTTAACCAGCCTTAAAGCATCATATTGTGGCTGCTGAGCAAAACTGCGTCGGCTTCAAGAAAACATGTCACATAAAAATTAAAACTGGTATTAGCACTACAGATGTGGTGTCTGAATTAATGGATGGGATTCTAACACAGCCCCATTTTCATCTTCTCCTCCTCTCATGAAACAGAGCAGCAGTACTAAGAATAAAAGAGCAAAGGATCTGTGATGGGACGACAGCACAAAAGCACAGCATGTCCCACTCTAATTACAAGGGGTTTATATGCTATTTTTAGGGTATAAGGTGCATTAGAGGGGACTATTAGATCTAGTCCTACTTGAGGGAGCACATGCCCTAAACAGCCCTGAGGGTGCTCACTGGTATGGTCACTGCCAGTGCTGACAGCAGCTCCAGCTGCACTCTGGGGTTGGCAAGCACAGGGATAACTTCATCCTCCATCACCAGCCACGAAGGTGTTTAGGATGTCTTGAACATTTATCCAAAATGCAGCTGTTAGGAGTTTTTGGAAGACTACAAATCTGTGCATAGGGTTGGATATTATGAAAAAATTCTGCCCTGTGAGGGTGCTGAGACAGTGGCACAGGTTGCCCAGAGAAGTTGTGGATTTCTCATCTCTGGGAGTGTTCCAGGCCAGGTTGGATGGGGCTTGGAGCAATCTGGGCTGGTGGAAGGTGTCCCTGCCCATGGAAGGGAGTTGGACTAAGTCTGGTTAGCTTTAAGGACTCTTCCAACCCAAACCATTCTCTGATTCTATGACATGGGTTAGTGGTGAGCCTGGCAGGGTTGGGTTTATGGTTGGACTTGATGACCTTAGAGGTCTTTTCCAGCCTAAATGTTTCCATGATTCTCTGACTTCACAACTCTCACAACTCGAGGGTTATATATATACAACCATATTCCCTAACACAAAAGCAGATGTGAGAACTTAGTTTAGGGCACTAGCTATGAAAGAATCATCTCTCAAAATACCTGCAATAATGGCCATACATAAGCTGATCCTCCATAATTAGTTAGATAAAAGTGTAAGCAAACTAAAAAAAAAAAAAAAGAGAGAGAGAAAAAAAGGAGGAAAAAATCAAAGGGTGGGGGAAGGAGAAGAAAGAAAACTTGCTCCAGGGAAGAAGCAACTGTTCTCTGATGTGCAGCAAGGAATTTAACATCAAAGAACGAATGTAAATGGGGCCCATTTACCTCA